ATTTGGAGCGATTGTTGCGGGAGATCCAAATTGGCGAGTGTACGGACCTTATGCAAACTATATTTCACCAAATCGGTTCCCCTTGCCGATATTTCCAGCGAGACTATTTTGGAATTTGGCTCCTGCTGCGTGATATTGCCGGTCCATCTCAAGCAAAGCTCTTCAGTCGGACCTGTGAGCATCAACTTGTGTGCCAAGAACTCATCTAAGAGCGTGCATGATGCCCCTTCGTCGATAAGAGCTATCGTATCCACAGCCCTACCATTGGCATGCAAAGTCACCGGAATATATCTGAAGAGCACCTTCTCGCACTGTTTTTGGTGCAAACATACCGCGTTGGACTCAGGCTTCCCAGTTGTATCTTCAGTATTGCGCAGCTCCTCACTTCGTCTGTGCAGCAGTGGGTTATGAACTAAGCGACAACCATCAATACCACATAATTTGTTCACACAGTTTCTTATCTTTAACGAATTGCCACCGCGATTGTCTGGCTAAAGCTTTAAATTCGTCGCAATCTGTTAAGCTGTGACAAGCTGCGCACTTAATGCATTTTTGCGATTGCATTGGTGACCGATGTGGTAGAGGCGAGGAGCTGTTGGGTGGTGACGGCTCTCGCTTTGGTTGAGCCACATTATGAACCAACAATCGTTCTCGACGTCCCCGTTGCTCTGCTTTTGTGTTTAATCTATTAATGTCGATCGGTCTAACCTGGCTCGCGCATGATGCCCAAAGAGCCATTCGTCGAACGCACATATGTCGACACGTGTGAGGCTAAAACGTCTACGACCCCATTCGAGCTTCATTTCGCCGGGAAGCTTACCTATAAGGGCGTTCAAAAGCATAGGGTCATTTAGGTACTCATTTAGACCCATGGCTTGCATAGTTGCCCTATAATTTTGCACAGCAAGAGCCAGCGTAATTAACGTTTCTAAACGCTCGATTCTAACTGCCGGAACCTCTCTAACCTTGCGCTGAAGGGCTTCGTGAATGATGTCTGGTCGCCCAAAAAGCATACGGAGTGTTTCTATTGCTAAATTTACTGTGGCCGGCATCATCAATTTGCCACGAACTGCCTCGAGTGCAGGACCTTTCAGACACTTCTGCAGTCGAATTAAATTTTCTTGATCCGAAAACCCGCAGCGTTCCGTGGATTGCAAAAAGTTCGTCTAAAAAAGAGGCCATTCTTCAGGGTCTCCGGAAAAGTGAGGTAAGTCTTTCGTAATGACTTGTCTTGCCGCTATATGCGAAGGAGAAAGAGTTGAATTCCAAGTGGTACTTACGTTACTGGGCACAGAAGTGTTTTGACCAGAAAGTGGACCTTGGACCCACCCACTACCCTGCGTGGTATATGGAGGGCGAGGTGCCATATGAATTTGAGGATTTAAAATCTCTTTTGCATTGCCATATAGAGGCGACCCGCCAACATATGGTTGGCTGCATGATAACTGTGAGTTATGCAATCTAACAGGATCGAAAATGTGAAAACCCCTGTCGGCGTGACACATGTTGCTAGTGGGTACGTAAGTATAGGTAGAATTCGACACAGGCTGATGCCCGGCAAAATTATTGGATGACTTGTACCACGCTGTAGAATAGAGGTTATTCATCATCGAAGTTATGTTGCTAGCCGAGCTTACAGATGATAAGTTGTGCTCTGTGCATGCCATTAACGGGGCAGAGCGAGCACATGGGACGGCTTCATATCCTAACCGCGAAAATTTACTACGCGTTTTTGGTGACAATATTACCGAGTCTAAAACCGTATGCGATGCTGATAGTTCGGCGACCATATCTGCAGAGGTTGCGCCCGATGCTGATGTAGTGGGTGCTCTAACAAATCCGCTGCCCGATGGAGTAGGAGTTGAGTAAACATCCACGTGCACGGGAGCACCTACATTCGCGGTCGAACCCTCCCCATTTTGGGCCGTTTCCCAAATCTGTGCCGGCGCATCGGTAGTCGTAAATGTTAACTGGGCTAACTGGTCGACTGGTGATGCTGTTACACAAGGTGTGGTCGTAGCGCAAGGGTGTGCTTCGCATACTTGGTTTGGTCTCGAATCTTCCATGTTGTTTATATAAGTATGTAGGTACTTAGATAAGTCCACAAATATTTTAGACTGTTGACAGGCGAGTGAAAAAATATAAGACCAGCACTTATTTTGAGCGTCCTTTATTTAATTGTTATGCGCGCTAAAATCTGCGAATATACAAAGCAATGTACATACGTACATACAAGTACATAGATATATGCATGTGGAATTACAAAAA